ACCCCCGCGCCGATACCGGTTCACGTGATGTTGAGTCATTTGCCGTATGCCCAGAGCTGATGTGCTCCGGTTGAACTATCCCAACATCATCTATTATACCGATTCAATCAAAATGGTCAAGCAAATTGCCGGTTCCAAGGCTCTCCTTTTGGGGTCGGGCTTCGGTACGCCTCGTTTCTCTTCTCCAAACCTCTTGGCCCTAAATGCGTCATGCTGCCCCGCATCGAGCTTCTTGAGTTGTACAATTGCTAATTTCTGATTATTCTGAAGTCACCAAGCCTACTGTTGAGGTCCTCAGCAAGGCTGATGTTGAGGTCACTGTTGGTATGTTCATTGAATCCACTTAGGCCCCTATTTCATTGAAAATCGCTGACAATGCGGTAACAGCCTGCCGTACCCTCGGGAGTGCCCAGGCCCTTGCCTCTGGCTTCAAGAATGCCAAGGCCATCTCTCTTGATGTCAACGATGATGCCGCCCTCGATGCTGCTCTGAACCAGGCCGATGTTGTGATTTCGCTTATCCCGTACACTTTCCACGCTACCGTCATCAAGTCTGCTATCCGCACTAAGGTAACACATCTTTCTCTGGAGGGAGCGAGCACTTGACTAATTTATTACAACAGACAAACGTGGTCACCACATCCTACGTCTCCCCTGCTATGTTGGAGTTGGATGAGCAGTGTCGCGAGGCTGGTATCACAGTCATGAACGAGATCGGTCTCGACCCTGGTCTCGATCACCTCTGTACGTGTCTATGTCACAGATATAAACAGACCGACGCTTACGAGAGATAGACGCTGTCAAGACTATTCACGAGGTCCACGCTGCTGGCGGCAAGGTTACCGGATTTGTTTCCTTCTGTGGAGGGTTCGTCCGATGATTCCCGTGTTCTATACGTGGTATAGCTAACCAACAACAGCTTGCCCGCCCCCGAATGCTCAAACAACCCCCTGGGATACAAGGTCAGCAAAAGTCCACTTATCACCAAGTTGATATATAACTGACAAATTCCGGTTTCAAGTTCTCGTGGTCTAGGTTAGCAGAAGTTCAATGCTGAGTGTTTGTTTGAACAATTGACTAACTAGCTCAGCCGCGGTGTGCTTCTTGCTCTCCGTAACGCTGCCAAGATCTACCAAGGTATGTGCTTTATTTACGCATAACAGAAACCAAGAGTGCTAATGTAGAATGCAGATGGTAAGATCGTGTCCATCGACGGCCCCGATCTGATGGCTACCGCCAAGCCCTTCTTCATCTACCCCGGATTCGCCTTCGTCGGATACCCTAACCGCGATTCCGTATGACATTTAATGCGTTCTACGAGAATTAGTTTCAATCAACTGACCTGTACAGACTCCCTTCCGCGAACGCTACGGTATTCCCGAGGCCCAGACCGTTATCCGCGGTACTCTTCGCTACCAGGGCTTCCCCGAGATGATCAAGGTCCTTGTCGACATTGGTTTCCTCAATGACGCGCCTAACAGTGTCTTCGATAAGGCCACTTCCTGGAAAGAAGCCACTAAGGAGGTTCTCGGCGCCAACTCTTCCTCCGAGAAGGATTTGCAGTGGGCCATCGCATCCAAGACCAGTTTCCCTAACAATGACGAGCGGGATCGTCTCCTCTCCGGCCTGCGCTGGATTGGTCTCTTCTCCGACGAGCAGACCACCCCCCGCGGAAACGCCCTCGACACCCTCTGTGCCACTCTTGAGCAGAAGATGCAGTACGGTCCCGGCGAGCGCGACCTTGTTATGCTCCAGCACAAGTTCGAGATCGAGAACAAGGACGGCTCCAAGGAGACCCGTACCTCCACCCTGTGCGAGTACGGTACTCCCATTACTTCGGCTATGGCCCGCACCGTTGGCATTCCTTGCGGTGTTGCTGTTAAGCAGGTTCTCGATGGCACTATTAGCAAGACTGTATGTTTATCTATCTCTCCTTTGCTCTCGAGATTCTCTATACTCACTTCCTTGATAGGGTGTTATCGCTCCCGTTACTTGGGATATCTGTGAGCCTCTTATCAAGACCCTCAAGGAGGACTACGGTATGGAGCTCATTGAGCGCACTCTGTAAGGGTGGGTTCAATTTTGGAACTGAATAGATATCAGGCTGGTAAAAAATCTAGGAAAGACATAGACGATGAATGAAATACCATGGTGTGCATTGCTACTCTTATGTTCCACCCTATCAATGGGATGTATATGCGTTAATGTAGACCAACTCATCACTTGCAGTAAGGTATGGATCCATCTTCCCAAAGGCTAGTCACCTAGACATGAGTTGCCATGTGTAAAGTGCGGCGGAGTAAAAGAGGTACACATCAAGAACAATCTATACAATGCAAGTCAAGAGGTGCCGAGAGTTGAGAAAGATGCGAGAAAGCTACCAGTCTCATAGCGGGCTTCTTGGGAAGAGATAGAACACAAGGCTTCATCCATCTCGGTATCGAAAAGCGTGGAAGGATGTGCTGAGATGTTCTTCCCAAAGAGACCCGTAGCTCATTTTGGACCTGGCCACCTTTGAATCTCCGACAGGCTCAAAAGGCATGGGGCTTCCGTGAAGGCAAAAAAAGCCCGGTACTAGCAGAGCAACCAGCATACCATCTATTAAAAGGGTCCAAGTAGATCAATAGGTTAACTTATCTTCATTATCATAGACATACCACCATTTCTCTTATCATAGCGTCATTGAGCCCTGCCCGACACAGAACTGCAAGGGCCATACGGGTGGAAAAAGAAAAGAGACACGAGTTGAAAAAGAAAGCAGGCGAATAATCTAGTTGCTTGCGCTTTTTGCAGTCTTTACCTGTGGCCAATCCATGTAGAGAAAAAGAGGAAAGAAGTCTTTCGGACGAATGCATTGTTTTGTGTGTATTTCATGCCACCGAGAAGAGATGTAGTCGATCAGAGAATACTGCCAAACCTACACCAACGAGAAGAACGAGAATGATTAGTAACCGATTCCAGTATTGCGATGTTTCTGAGGAACGCTGAGATCTGTAGACAGAGGCCGGATTGGCAAACGAGACCAGGAAAAAGAATGGAATGATCCGAAGCAGATGAATGTAAGGAAAAGAGAAGAGGACGGGAGGACGGGAAAGAAAAAGAGACATGACATACCCGAAAGTCTGCTTGATGCTGCGAACATAGTACATGTCCCAGTTCTGCTTGGTGACATCTTCCTGGCCAATAGGAACGCCGGACCAAGAAACACGCATCTGAGTAACACCGTCGATATCGTTCTGATCGAAGTTGATCTCCTGCGTGCTGAAGTGACCCTCGGGCCACTGAGCAAGACGCCACTTCTGGATAATCTGCTTGGGCTCATTAAGGGTAACGAACTCTCCAGTCACGTTTCCGTCGAAGATAGCGAACTTGCCGCCGACCTTGGCGCCCTCAAACTGGCGCGGTGCACCGCGCGTGAATGCAGTGATACGCTGCGCGTCCGTAAAGGTGGTGTAGAGCTCGCTGGCTGTGGTGCGGAACTCGTCTGAGGCCGAAACGGTGGTTGTGTTGACGGCGACCTTACCGGTCGTGGTGGTGGTGGCCTGCGCGGCTGCGGCTGGGGTATCGGCCTTGGTTTGCGGGTGGACAGTGGCCTTGGAGAAGCCGCTAGATGGGTTCACGCCTGGGGCGTGCTGGAGATCCTTGCCGTGCTCGGCGATCAGGGCGGGCGTAAGGCTGGACAGGGTCTTGCGGAGTTCGGCGACGAGCTTTGTGCGCACGAGGTCCTTTACGGGCTGCTTGGAGTTGGAGTCGGCGCGGTTTTCAATCTCGAACTGCAGGGCGTTTTACATGGTTAGTGTTACAGATCATCTTGGCGATGGGGAATGGGGACAAGTGAACATACGACGTACTCATCTTCCTCGGTGTCGTGGGCTACCTCGGGAATGTTGATGGTGCCGGTGACATCCTCATCGTCCTTTGTCTTACCTATGGAAGCGTCTCAGCTGCCAGGTCCACAAAAAAAAACCAAGAAGAATTTGAAATAAACTGAATTGATATTGGACTACAAACCTGAGTATTCTAGCGAGACCTTGACATCGAACAGAGTGATGACTTTGCCCTTGCGCTGGCTGACATCTACGTCTCCATCCATTGACAACAACTTGGCTACTTTGGCTGACACGCCCCCTTCCTCAACACTGACGCCGACAAGGTTCTTTTGCAAGTACTCCTTGGCCCAGCCAGAGGCATCCTTGTTGACCCAGTGCCAGTTGTTGGGGTTGTGGAGGACCATGATGAATGTTGACTAGGGGAATGAAAAGAAAACTCTGATTTTTGGCAAATGGGTTGCTTCTTCTTTTTTTTTTAAAAAAAAAAAACAGAGATCTTTGGAGGAAAAAAAGAGCTAAAAGTTCTGTTGAAATTCCTGTTAGCCATGATCTTTCTCTTGCAGTGGGCGAGAATTGCATGTGTAAGGAAAGGCCAATGTCAGGTCTCGGGGCGTATCCCGGACTTGTTAAGCGTTGTCCGCAAGTAGATGGAGAATCATCTCTCAGACTGGTGCCAGCTGAAGTCTCTTCATGCAAGGCCAATTGAGTGCTGTCGAGGGGCAGGTTGAAACCACAACCCTCTTTGCACTCAAGGGGGAATGTGATAAAAAGCAAAGAGGCAGTTCAAACTTACAGTTGGTGTGATCAGGTCCAAAACATCAAGGACATCAAAGGACTCTGAGGTGAAGTAGAAGAAAGGAAAGTCGAGGGGGAAAAGAGCTATTTGAAGGCGGACGGAAGACTCTAGAAGGTACACGTGACTGTGGATAACGCTAGCGCTCAACATCGCATGAGGTCACCTTCTTCACTACCAGCTTTTATCCTTCAGAATTTACTTGAACACAAGGTATGTTCTTTAAATCGAAGTGTGTGTGTATTAAACCCTCACATCCTTAAAAGAGTCTAAAAAAAAACCAAGTGTTACAGGCACTGCCTCGCATCACTCGATCTATAAACGAACAGGGATATCACGCTGCCAAGTACATAGCAAAAAATCAACAAAACCACTCTTCTATTCCTCCAATTGTTCTAGTTCCTCCCAACCGTTTTCACTCATAAGCTGTTTTTTCACCCGTTCTCTCAAACCCTCAATCTGGCTCCCCAGCGCCTCAGTCCACTGACCCTCAACGGTAGCAACCTTATCCTTAAGATCAGTCGTAAGGGCCAGTTCTTCATTGGCACGAGTCTCCTGCATCTCACGACGAACATCGTCTTCCGTCTCTCCACGCTTGATTCGTTGTGTCTCCACAAGCTTCCGACTAGCCCTCATAACAGCAGACCTCACCTCATGCAAGAGGCACAGCAGATTCGTCTGCGACTCAATGAACTGGTAGCTTGATTTCTCCGCATGCGAAAGCAGTGTATATAAATATTGCAGCGGATGTTCATAGTAACTCGGATTCTCCTCGAATTCGCCTGCAGGGATCTGCACCTGGAAGCCGCGTAGGTTCTCAGGCGCCTGCTGCACAAGAGCCAGGAGGGACGGGGCGATATCCCAAAATGCCGAGAGCTGTACCTCGACTCCTCGCATGACATTCTGCTCAATGACATCCAGGAACATCTCGAGTCGGGTTAGCGCCTCGGTTTCGTACTGAACGCGGCGGCGGAGTGCGTCCTGGGTGAAGAAAGCTTGAGTCTCACGTAGCTTGTCTTCGATTTTCATTTGCTTGTAAGGAAGGAGGGCGACGGCTTTGTATTTGTCGTCGCGATCGCTGATGAGGTCAAATGACTCGCGGTGGAGCTGTTCGCGCGCTTCGAAAAGCCATTTTAGTTGCGTCAGTTTCTCTAGGAGCTCAGGCTTCTCATCGCCTTCTTCCTGCGTTTGGTCCAGTGTCCCGCTCTGTGCATCGTCAGAGAGCATGCTACTCAGCTGGTTGATACATGTTGTTGCTCTGCTGATTCTGTCGACGAGAATGGCGTGCATCGGCTTGAGCACTGTTTCTTGGTACGTGTCTAGCTGGCGTTTGACCATTGCCCTTTCTCGCTCGTTCTCTTCGGCAATCATCGCCGCCTCGGCTTCTGCTGCTTCCGCAAAGGTGAGACTGCCTTCTTGGAGCTGGCTTTGGATATTCGATCTGAAGTGGCGGTGCCCCTCATCGACTTGTTGCTGATGCTCTTGAATCATTCGCTCCACGTCAGCCTTGTACCGATGTCTGGTGGTTTTGATCTCCGCGAGATCAGTAATTGATCGAACTGTAGTTCGATGAGTCACCAAATCAGGATGGCTGTTATTCACAGCAGGGTGGTGGCGGGGATAAGGCGGAGGTAGAGTGATCAACCGCGAGATGTCCAAATTGCGGCTTTCATAGCGATACCCAGTCCCGGTAGAATTTGCAGGAGACCCTTCATGCCAGCCGACTTTCTCAGGTGGGTAATCATCAGAGCCATATTCCGTACTCCCATAGTTCATGCTCACATCTTTGGGCTGAGAGGGAGTCAACTCCTGGTCCCCATGCATGGCCTCTCGAGGCAAGCCCATATACTTGGATTCCCGCTTGGATCGTTGAACCCTTCTCTCGGCCCCCTCGCCGCTGGAACCGGTTGCCGACTCCCACCAGCGACTTGGCGCACGGCCTCGAGAGCTCTCATCGTTGCTCATGTTGAGGCTGGCAATCGGCGATAGGCAAGGCTGATAGTTGGTCCACCATGCAGACTCCGGTCGACCTTCTCGGTTTTGTGGGATATCTAGCTTTGGCTGTGGTTTAAGCTTCGGCGGTTTCTTGACCGGCAACTCGAAAAGATTGCGGCGCACATCGTCTACTTGGAACGATTCCCAGACTTTCGAGTACCGCTGGCGCCGGATCTGCGATTCGGCAAGTAAATAGTCCGCAAATATCTTGAGTGCTTCCGCATCATCCTCGGCACTAGCTTCTTTGTCAATAAAGGTTTTGTGTCTTTGAATCGCATCATGCAGGAAAGCAGGATCTTTTTTAAGGACCGATTCCATTGAGACCTGTGCTGTTTGTCCTGGCATTCGGCGTAGTGGCAAGGGTTTCATTGTCGAAACAGCATCATAAGACATGTGGAGAATGTGAGAGAGTGGGCGGCTCTCTGCTTCTTGGGAGGGTGCACGGGAGTGTGAGCGTGGCCGGACCTCTTTTGCCGAGTTGAGAGGCGGAGTTGGTAGTGCTTTTGGCGGTACTGCTTGACTGGTTACTTTGGCATCTGCGGACGAGCCCACTCCATTTGGATTTGGCGAAAATGGAGGCGTATGCGCAAATTCAGCCGAGGGACCAGCAGAGCTGGGTTGTTTTCTGGGGGTGACGTAGGGTGATAGTTCGGGAAGTACAGCGCTAGGCGATGCTCGAGGTCGTGAGACAATATGTGGTCCTTCTGGTCTAATGCTGCTGCTACTGCCGGGAGTTTGATTGTACTTGCCCGACGTTGGATGCCGATAGTGGTCTGGGTTATTGGTCTGGTCTGGTAGAATCAGGTTCGACGGTTTGATCTGCTCGAGAGCATCGGCCCAAGAATTACCATTTGGTGATATCGCACTTGGCGGCTCGAATACCTGGCTTTGTCGGTTGCGTCGTTCAATTCGCCTTTCACGGATGCCCTTGGCACTCGGATCGCGGACTGCTGAGCTGCGGAAAAGGCCGCCACTACCGGGAGTTCTTTGATCAGTTGAATCCTGAGGATCACTGTCCTTCGGCTCTAGTGTCTTGGCTGCTTTTGCTGTATCAACATATAAAGTCTCCGTTGGTCGACTGTTCAAATATCCCTCGTCTATCCAATCAGCTGGCGTAGGCGGGATACTTCCCAGTCCTGTTCCTAGCACAGGAGGTCCCCTTCTCGTCGTCCGGTTCGAGTTTTGGGTTACTCTCAGAGATGAGGATTCTGTCGAGCCACTCACGCTGACAGACCTCGCGGCGGGAGGAGGCCCTGGAGGTGGTGGCGGAAGTGGCATCCCGGGCTCCCAGTTACCATTTGGCGGTGATCGATTTCGCGACTGACTCGTTGCCCTCGATGAGCCTGCACTGCTTATCACGGCTCCAGCAGATGCGGCTCTTCGAGATCCAGGGGCCCGGGATGGCGTATCGAAGTTTGCAGGTGTTGCAGACATATGCTCGTCAAAGCCGGGCGAGGGTTGGGCTTGGTCATACAGTGCCAGCTGAGGTATGTGGCTAGAAGCATTATATGGAATAGCTGGGTCATTATAGGACATGCCCTGATACCCCACTCGACCGTGGGAAACAGACCTACTCGCTGGGTGTCCCCTCGGGGGAGGTGGAGGGGGTAGCGACTGGCGCCCAGAGTCAGGCGGGTAAGCCATAGATATTGGCCGTGGCCGATTTGATCGTCTTTGATACTGGGTAGGCATCTCAAACACGCCCTCTCTGTTGTCAGGTGGGGAAGGCGTTCCGGCAAAATGAGATATTGGCTGACTAGAAAAGTCCCGGGACATTCGATTTTGGCTGCTGGGAGGTGAGTATGGCGGAGGAGGTGGCGACAACGACACATCTACCAAGGGATCAACGTCAATTCAACGCGGGTCTTGGGATACCATTGCTCTGCAAAGACGTAACCTGTGAGCGAGACTCACCCGGATCATTTCTTTGCGGCGTCACACGATGCATATTGCCTGGCTGAAGAAACGGGGCCTGCGCCTGGGGCCTGCCCGGAGGCCCCCAGTCTTGAGGATTATAAGGAACATTGTATGCGTTTCTAGACGCCATCGAAGACGACGAGACGGATCTGCCGTTCATAGGCGATGGAACAGCAGGCGATAGACCGTGAGTAAATGGGCTTGAAAGCGAGGTTGACGATAGAGGCGTCGGTGTTAGTCCAAGACCAGCCCCAAGACCCTGATATTGAGGACCGCTCAGTGATGTTGTCAATAATGGCGGCTGTACGGCGTGCTCTCGGCGACCTGGTGATGGCTGGTTACTGGGACTCGCAGCTGTCGATGACCAGCCCGGATAATGGTTGCTCAGCGGCTGTTCGACACCTGCATGATTTGAACCCAACCAGCTAGAGAGGTAGGGTCAGTATCACGCGTATTGAAAGTGCCCGAGGATGAGAATGGGTTGCACCTATTCATATTGGGCTGTGCATCCATTTAGGAGGCCCGATCGGAAGCCATGGCCGCCTGGAAAGGAAGAGGATGGCCCTACAGAACAGAAAAAAAACAGTTGCCTCGAAACAGGCGAAATACTACTATCTTTTTTTTTCTGTTCCTTACAACTGCGGAGGGCAAGGTTGAGGAAAACATCAGTCTAGCCCATGTGGAGTACTCCTACCGGCAGAGCCAGAGGGATGGTGCGCCCATTATGAAATTAAATCTATATTTGGAACAGACGAAAGAAGAATTTTAGCAAGATCAAATGAGCTTGTCCGAAGCGGGGATTGTTATGCACCTGGCGATGTTCTCATCACATCCGGGGCCCATGCTCGGCGCTTATCGCTCTCTATGAGGGGTCCAACGACCCTTGTCCCTTATGTCCCCGCAATAAAAACAACAAACCACAGGGGAATTTGGTGGAATATCTCCAGCCGTGTGACTAGAGTATGCAAGGGTGGCTGTAGGGTGCAAAACATCCAAAAATAAAGATCATACGGAGTAATTTCAAACACTCTAAGCAAGGATCAGATGTTTCTTTGAATTCGTATTGGCATTTGTATTGAACTTCCAACTACGGAGTGCTGCGGCTTTCTTTTTTTTTAAAGAAAAGACCAGGATGTATCTGCCACGTGCGTGGACCGAGGGAAGACCGACGACAGCTTCGACATCTTTGGGACTTTTCAACTGAAATCGATGTTAGCAACAAGACTAACAAGCATTGGACAAAAAGACATTGTGTATAGAGGAATTTCAGATAAAGCCTTGTCACAGGCGATGGTCGTCAATTTTAAATCCTTACGTTGACCGTCGTGATAAATTGAAGTGAATCATCATTTAAAAGGGTGAAGCAAGAAGAAACTGTTGGAACTTACAGAAATGAAGCAGATCGCAATTGGCGTCTGCAATTATTAGTTCGCTCAATTGTTTCTGTTCGAAATCTCATCAGCGTCGAGTACTGAGTGGACATTGTAGCAATGTGAGACTCGTGAATTTATCAGGCATGACAGTTTGTCGTCTTCGCCAGCAAGCCGACTAGGACATATGCTTGTCTTTTTGTGTCGTTTCATCATGTAAGGTCGGGAAGAGGAAGGAGACATGGTGTACATACACCCACTGTTCAAGAGAGCTCTTGGAAGTTCAAATTGAAAAAGATCTGTCTTCAAAGAATCATTAGCACTAGCCAAAGAAATTTAATGAGTCAAGTTTGTGTAGGAGGGATTGTCAGAAAGGCATGAATGGTTATTAAAAAGATTGTGTCAGCATCGAAAACTCGAATCAGACTCGTCATCTAAAGGGTATCATCATAAAGGGTAGGGCAGCAAGAACAAGACTCGATTGCATACCTTCTACAGTTACATTTGAGGTCTCAAATAGTGCACATTGAAATATGCTTCTATTGAAAAGGGTTAGTGAGTGTCACGCAACCATCTCATGAATTGTTGAATATATGGCATGTCTCAGTGGGCGAGGTTTTCTAGGCCTGCCGCAAAAAAGGCGCATCCAATCATGACCGAACATCTTTTTTCAAATGCCGTCGGAGCCCAGTGCCGTTTCATCTTCGGACAGAGATTCTCAGGGGAGAGGGGCGTAGGCTTACCATCAGAGCCAGTAGCGCATCAACCTATTGGTCTTGACAAATTAGCACACAGTTCGAATATGACTTTGATGCAGATGTTCAAGCAAGGTAAAAAATCAGAAATAGCCATTTGTATCATCACCGACCCGAAGGTCTGAGACGGTAATTTCCAGCGTATTTTCATACACATCGCGTTCATCATGGTATGGGACAGAGAGTGAAATAGAGACATTTAGAACTCACCATATGCGCACATAGTCAGGTTGTGCCTGCAATCGATGATATGTGTATCCTATCACTTCTGGAAAAGCAAATTAGCTCAGTCCAACTCAATGTCTATGTGATGATTTGAAGCAATGAGGTGAGATCAGCCTGACGTGCAATAACATAAGTTTCATTCCCCAGAGGGTCAAAGACTCTAGTTTGTATTTGGTTAAAGGTATCATCATGTTGGGAGGTGCGCAGATGTGTTGAGGGAATTGAGTGGACAAGATCTTACCATCGTTGCAGATCCTGCAGAACACCTGTTGATTAGTGAGAAAAACCCTGTTTCGGAAGTTGTGATTGGCTCAAGGCCAGGAATCATTGACCTCAGTCTCCATTTGCATTGGAAGAATTAACCATGCTGGAGATGAGCGTAGGATAATGGAAAAGAAAAGTGTGAAAACACAAATTTGTACTTTTTTCAAGCTCCCGCGGCGCGGAATCACCTTCGGCCGGAGCTAGGTCATATTGGGACTAGCGTTGCCATAACCGAGATTTCGCTTACGTCAAATACCAACGGGGCCGGCCCGAGGTCATTTGGGGAGCTTAATCGAGTTTAGCTGCAATTTTACAACATGGAAAGAAGAGTCAGAATCTGATCAATAAAATCTATCAAGTCATTGTTTCATAGCCATCTATGCATCAGAACGCTTCTTTTCACGGGCCCAGAACTGGTAGAGAACAGTCAGCATAGCTAGCATGCACACATCAAGGGCAATAGTCCAGTTATATCCAATAAGGTACCTCGGGGCATCGACAGTCTTCCACACGCTAAACAAGAAAAACGTGTTAGCATAAAATTTCAGCATCAGCAGGTTGCACCAATACTCACAGAAGCGGAATCCAAGCCCCAAAAGTATTACCAATAGTGTTCATAGCACTGATGACAATAGCACGCTCCTCGGCACTATGAGCACAAATCTCATTTGCCCAGGCATAGATAATAGCCGCAATACCATCCGCTGTACCCGATAGGAAGAACGCAAAGAACTTGAGTCCAACAGGGACATTCCAGATGGCCAGCACAATACAAGCAAAGATATTCAACACAGCAGTGGCAGCAATCAAGCTGGCCTTCGAATCGTATACATCAGAGACAACACCACAGAGTACAGATGCCACAATGGTGACCGCTGGCGATACTGTCGTGATCGTATTAATGCTCTCAACCGAGTATCCTTTCTCCTTAAGCCAGATCGGCAAGCCACTGTTCGAGGACACACCGTCTGCCTGTGAGAAAAAGAATGCAAATGCGACTAGAACCCACAGCCGCCAACCTTTCAGTATCTGGACAACTCTCACCTTGGTGAAAGGTTGGCGGGCTTCGCGGTTCTCAGATGCCATGCGTTGTTGCGCGAGGAGGACTTCGTCAGCGCTGAGGAAGCGCGAGTTGCATTTGTCTGGTGTGCTAGGAAGAACGCATAGGCCTAGGAAGGCGATGGGGATTGTGCATGCAAAGCCTAATACCGTTAGTCTGTGTCTGTTTGGGGGAGGGTTCTCGTGGGACACTTAGGACCCACTTACAAATGATGTACAGCCATCTCCATCCTTCAATCCCATACCGACCATCAAGCTTGGCATAAGCTCCTGCTTGAATATATCCCGAACTCATGCTGCCGACTTGGGAGGCTATGAAGAAGATCGCGCCTCGACGGGACAGCTCCGAGCGCTTGTACCAACTACCCAGGTACCATTGCACAGCAGGGAAGAAGAAGCCACCGAGAGCACCGACGAAGAAACGGAGAGCGTAGAGCTGGGTAACATTGCTAGCTTTGTATTGTGCCAGGGTGAAGACACCCCAGAATAGATCTGCGGCAGGCAGGAAATAGTTCACAGGGCAGCGTGTCATCTAGGGAAAGCAATCAGCGAACCAGCATCTCCGTGGGATGGATTGTAAATAACAACGAACCAGTAGAGTCAGAGGAATCTGCATCGTGATGAAGCCAACCCTATACCATGTCAGCATCAATCCTCAATTCACGTTTTCCAAGCACCACCACCAGCCCACTGGATAGACATACATGTAGACCGTCTGCAGATAGTTCAACTGGTTCCCATAAAGCTTCAAATCTTCCTTCATGCCGGACACATAGGCTGTACTCGTCGCCGAAGAATCCAAGACTTTAGCCCAGTACGCCAGGAAGACGAAGACGATTATCAATCCATCGAGCTTGAGGATCAGCCGCCGCTCAGCAGGGGTATCGGTCGGCGCAAACCACTCGTACAATTTTTGGCGTGCGGGCTCAGAGGCGGTGGGACTCTCTGATTTCGTGGGGGTTTGCTCTTCCACTGCCCGCGGGGCTTTCTCGATAGGCAGAGAAGACATGGTCGAATATCTACCTCTAACAACAACCCTTGCCTCTGGGGTATGAGGTTATGATATCGCCGATCAGTGGTCTGAGACAGCTTCAAAGTTTTTTTTTCGTAGGAACTCTGGAATGTTATAGGGCTGATTTGGAGCACGCCATCAGCCTCTCGAATGAGGAGTCATCACATTCGCCAGGAATTTTTGACGCTATCACCAAAATCGCATCACGTAATTACCAAGCGCATTTGTGACTCGCTAGGGCCTTTGGGTTTGACCCAGAAGGAATAAAGAGATGAAGTCTCATGTTTCCCTTGAAGAGCCTGTGTTGTGGAAGGGGTGTATAGTCAAAATCATTTAAACTTCGGTAGCTTGTTGCCCAGATTCCCTGTGGGGACCCGATCTAGTGGAGTCTCCATCCTCAGCGTGCGCCACGGAGTAGACAAAATGCACGGATTTGGTAGCACTACAGAACAGTATGGTTCAGGGATTTTCTAAAAAATTTTCAGTCCCGAATTATGCGGGTATAAGTATCGTAAAGCGCTCAAAACAACAAGACTGCAACGAAGCAGAGATCGGGAAACCAGATTGTAAACTCCGACCATCCAAGTCATAATTTCCAAGAATGAGATAGATAAATTATTAGTTAGTGTCAAGAGAGAAGATGCCAGAGGAGACTAGCATCCAGAAAGGATAAAAAACTGTCTCGCTTATTTCTTGTACTTGTTGTACATGTCAATGACCTTCTGGACCTCATCCTTGGAGCCAAGGAAGACACCGCTCTTGTCGTGGATGTTCTCAGGAACAACCTCCATCAACCGCTCCATGCGCGAGTTAACAGCAAGACCGCCGGCGTTCTCGAAGACCATAGCCATGGGCGCACACTCGTACAGGATGCGCAGTTTGCCTTTGGGGCTCTTCGAGTCGGCCGGGTAGGCGAAGATACCGCCGTACAACAGAGTGCGGTAAGCATCGGCGACCATGCTGCCAATATAACGGGCGCTGTAAGGCTTGCCACCGTTTTCCGGGTACTTGAGGCTGTGGAAGTAGGCATTACACCACTCATCCCAGTACTGGCTGTTACCCTCGTTGACTGAGTAGATGGAGCGCGCTGCGGGCAGTTTCATGTTGGGGTGAGTGAGGATGAACTCGCCGAGCGAGTTCTCGAGCGTGAAGCCGTTGACACCACCACCACGCATCGTGATCACCAGCTGTGCTGAGGCGCCGTACATGGTAAAGCCGGAGGCCACCAGGCTGGTACCCGGGTGGAGCAGGTCCTGCGGGCCGACGGTCTTGTTGGGACCCAGAACCTCGTCGGGGAGCTGGAAGATACCGAATATGGTGCCAACGGATACACCTGCGTCTAAGTTGGAGGAACCGTCGATGGGATCGCAGACGACAGCGTAGCGAGCATTGGGGTGCTCGTCGAATCGGATGACTTCCTCTTCTTCTTCTGAAACGACAATGCGGCACTTGCCAGAGCCACGCATTGCGGAGATGAAGATATCATTTCCAATCACGTCCAGCTTCTTCTGGTCATCGCCAGTTATGTTTGAGGAACCAGCCAGTCCTGTAAGGTTGATCAAGGAGGCACGACGGATGTAGTAAGCAATTGACTTGAAGGAGAATTGGAGGGCATGGCACAGGAGGGTGAAATCCCCCGAGGCTTCAGGGTGCTTAATCTGTTCTTCTGTGAAGAAACGGGAAAGTGTAACAATATCAGTGTTGATGTTCTCCGCTCCGACGGGGGGTGCTGTAGCCATTTTGAGGTATTGTGAGGATTTGACTAAGGGATGAAGATTGAAAGGTATAGCAATTGAGTTTCAATGACGAGATTAAATAGTCGAAGTGGCAGTCTTGAAACAATGAAGATAGAAGAAAAAGTAGTCCAACGTCAGTGAGGGGGATTAACCCGGGTAGAAGTACGGAGTATGGGGAGTGACCTCAGACCCGTTTTCGTCATTTTGCCCCGCGTGACCTGCCCGGGCCCTCCTCGCCCGGTTTCCCCTTACCGGGAACGCCCGCCTCTTAACTATAGAGCTCCATGTCAAAAATCAACCATTATTAGTAGATCGCTGCAGAAATTTGACATGTTAGATAATTCCCTAAGCTCTCTCCAACTAGCTATACATCCATATCAATGTGCCCGAGCTAATCGAAGATGCGCTGTACTATAGTCTAGATCCTCCCGGTCTGTTCCTTGCTCGACTCAGAGCCTCGGCCTCGGGATCAGCAACGGAAGAATAAATTCCCTATACCCCACCCGCAGTCATGTGCACTTGAAAAGATCTTGAAATCTAGGTAACCTATGGGTGTAACTAAGTGTACCTAATTAAAGGGGGATATCTGCGCTATTAGTGATAGTTCGGTGTGGATATGTGCAGAGATCTACATAAAACAATAGCAGGTGGGACAGATCAGTAGTCAATATAGATAGTGTATTCTTCTAGACCCTTTACAATACAAAAAAGGAGACAGGGAGTGAGACAGTCCCATGCGTTGGAGAGAAAGAAAGGAAAAAGACTAGTCCACAGGGTCCTCCTCCAACAGGGTCTTGAAGCTGAAAGGCAGGAAAGGAATACCCTCACCAACGAAATGCTTGCTCATCGCTTCAACCCAGTGAAGACGAAGCGAGTGCAACATGGCACTGGTACCTTCCATCACACAAAGAATGCAAATCGTCAGTACGAACCAGAGGTAGAAGCTGACAACAATCATGATAACACGGGTCACGGGGTTCTCCTGGTCAAAGGCACCGCCGATGGTCATGGTCCAAAGAACGATCGAGAGTTGCTGGTGAGCCAGCGACAAAGCCCACAGACGAAGATAAGAGGCAGTGTGAGAGATACAGTTTAGGCAGAATTCGATGGTGTGGATGACTTGGTGGATCATGATGTCGCCAAAGTCGAATTCCTCGTGCTCTTCGCTATCATCGATGTCCTGAGAAAGCATGGCCACGCCTTCTCCATCGCTAGCCAGACTGTCACGACCTAGCAGACCGTCCATATCACCATCGGCGTCAAGTGCACTCACGCGGGAGTTCTCTCCAAGACCACGGTAACCTAGGGCACGAGCACGGTTGTGTTCATAGCGGAGCCAGAACGGCTTAAGGAAGAGCATGATAGGGACCTGGGCCACGGCAACGAGGAGGAGAAGAACCTGGACCGAGCTCTGGCCAGGATAGAGTTGCTCTTCAACGGTACCAGGGCTCAAGAACATGAAAATGAGCATGTTCAGGAGACCGGGGGGGTTCACACCCTTCTCCTGCCAGTTCACGGACCACTTGTAGAGAATAGTGAGGACAAGGTAACCAAAGATTGACTGGAAGAAGAGCAGCCCAGGAACGAAATTGCCCCAAATATCAACCTTGGACTTGAAGTGCCGTCCGTTGACGTACTGCAAGCAAAGGGCATATGTCATGTGGCACCATCCAAGGAGAACACTCATCTTCATCTTCATACTGTTCGAGAAAAGCAAGGAATTGTCCGCCTCGTGCCAGTTCCAGTCCAAACCAATTGGATAGCGATAGCCTTCTTTCAATGTCGCCTCAACCATTTGGCCGGCCTTGATGTCCTCGGGCCATTGCCACTGACTGGGGAAGATGGTGAAAGATTTGGAGAAAATGTCGTTGTAAATGAAACCGGTGTAAATCGAAAACAGACCCATCATTAACATGATGTATCGTCCATAAAATGCCATGTATGTCAGTTCATCCAGTTTAGTCCGCGCCAGCTTCTTTTCCCAGAAGATCATAGCAGAAGCGGCCAGAGTCATCAGTGTACCATGGCCGCAATCACCGAACATGACTGCGAACAAGAAGGGAAAAGTGACAACTGTGTACAGGCCAGGATTGACTTCCGAATACTTGGGGATACCGTAAGCATTGACAATTGTTTGGAATCCTTCGGTGAACTTGTTTGTCCTGACAAAAGTCGGAGGAGTCTTGTTGGTGCGGATCTGATTGACAATTGTAGGAACGGTGAGGCCAGCACGGTCGTTCACATCCTGAAGGGTTGACTTGATCAGAGCAAGAGAATTTGTGGGGCACCATGCCTCAGCAATCAACGTCTTCCGCGCCCGGTCGTATGAAAATTTGTTCAAGGTATCGTAAACGGCCTTTTCCTTCTTGACAATGATCATCCACGCGGCGAGCGAGCGAGCAATTTGGGAAAGTTCCGCATCAAGGGTGTTCTTGGTGTTACGGAGCACATTGCCAACATCGCCGAGACGAGTATTCACTTCATGAATCTGGTCCCTTCTCAGCTCACTGTTCTCATCGACACCGTACAAGGATGCGTTGAGCGACTCCGAGATCTTTCTAATCTTGGCTAGGATGTTCTTGCCATGAGCAAAGATAACGAAAACATTTTTGTGTACTTCCTCGTTGGTCATCGGGTCAATAATGGGCTCCGGGATCTCGGACTGGTTCATGTAGAGGTTTCCACGCAGGGTGCGCCAGAGGATACGCTCAAAGGCTCCAATGCGATCCCGGGGTATAACACCAGCGACGAATCCAATGTTCATTTCCGAGAAGCTCTGCTGGCCCTGAGTGTCTCCATTTTGATGAGGTGCGTGGTGCTCAACATCACGGAGCAAAGGAGCTTCATCGTTGTCAAAAGACTGGCGAATGTCTTCTGTTTGTGTATGGGCCTATTCAGTCAGCCTCGTATGTCAACAGCGTTATATTCGAAGCCACCTACCCGATCGAAGAATCCACCGGCCTCCCTAAGTACCCATCGCCATTCGCTCAGTTCGACTTCACGCTTCTTCAAGGTTTCATAGCTATCGTTCAGAGAGATAATCCGCTGTTCAAGACTCTCGCTGCGATCAGCCAACTCATCGATCTCAGACGCTAAAGGGGCAGCCAATGTATCGGAGAAATCCGAAGAAGATCTCATGGGGATTGCAGCTTTTTCCATCTGCTGATGGAAATAGCGGAGCTGTCTTTCAACATTGTCCAGGCGACGGATTTCTTTTGTAAAGGTTCTTTGGAAAGCGTTGGTATCCGGGTTGAGCTAGAAAGAAGTCAGTGGGGAGCATCAAAGCACGGCATTCTTCGTCACCTACATCTCGGAACTGAACCTGACCAACTTCGCCTAAAGCACTGACAACTTCTCTTCCGATCTCGTTGGCAATGTAGAGCTGGGTCAGGCTCATGTCCGCCGAGCGGAAGAAGGTATCCCGCGGAGCCATGGTGTAAAGAGGCTACCAGGAGCCGTGTCTTTTGGTAAGAAGACAGGGGAAAGGAAAAGTCTAAAGAGCGACAGTAGACAGATAAATTCAATGAAAGGCAAAGATCCTCAGCTCTGTTGTTGCAGGTGGGCCGGGCTCTACTAGGACTTGTTCTCGGGTGGCTCTGCCAAGCTAGCTCAGCCGGATTTAGTCACGTGCTTTGTTTTTGCACGTGATGTCAGAAGACTTGATTATATGTACGGAGTAGTAGTCAACTGTAGTTCCCTTGAACCACTCCTGATTAAAATAACACCTGAATAGATGAACTAGTGGCCCTTTTTCCATTTTTAAACTTTCTTTCTGTATTTCAAGAGTCTGAACCCGCTAGATATCTGTCCGTATGGCCTACCAGGGAATGGGAGTAGGTTAACCAACTGATCAATGTTGAGGAACGAGTTTGCCGCCGCATGCTACAAAATCGGTGATTCCGTTAGGGCTTATATACTGCCGCGGTGATACTGGAAAATGCGATGGTTTTAATTTTATATGCGGAGTACATGTTGTTTCTAGAATTTTCTGGTCGAATTCATAGTTTAATTTTCTCATCCAATCTCCTTGTTGGAATCAGCGACCTATCTACATAAATCTTGAGATTCTAAACGCACGACACAGGATCCGGTGTTTTGCCTAAAACTCTCTATGTAAATGGAAGAGGGGGGGGGGTCTCTGGTTACCATTCAAGAAATGGGTTTACCTGGAAACTCGACTCCGTACTCTACTACCTCACATCCCACGCAACACTCCCTTCTTGTCTTTCTCTTTTAGCCTCATACTGCAAACGCTGCACCGAGGTTATCCGAACACATACCGGCTGACTTGAAAGACGGTTCCGTTTTCCGCGTGTCACTGGCTTGTCGTGATAGTTGCTCATTGCTCCTCTTCGTCTTCATTCAAAGAGACACACCCATGGCTTCAAACAGTTGATCAATTTCGGATTACAGAGACATTAAACCACAGCTAATTTGAAATTCGATGTGTCTTGGTGGGCCCCCACCGAGAAAATCGAGCATGGCAAACTGGATACTTTTGAGTCTCTCATTGATCCTCTTTCTCGTTTCAGCTTGGTCATCTTTCCTTGGAGGGCCAACTTACTGTAAAGCATTCTCGGATGTTTCAGATACCGGGGAGGAATAAAATCTATCATGGAATGGTTGTTGCTGCGTAATTCACAAAACACCCGTTGCATTTGAGAATGTACCATTGACACTGCCACACTGTTTTTGACAAAATTTCCATATGCAGTTTGCACAACAATTCCTGAACAATTCTGGAAGAATTATGCATACTGTAAATAGGCATTCTCTTTGCAACTCTGGCGGGGTTCTGGGGCTTCGGTGCCGACAATCTACGTGGTTTCCTAATGCGAGCGGAAGTTCGAAAAGAGCGTAAATTTATGTTGGTGCTATATCACTGAGACAACTTCTCACGAGGGTTTCCATCGGCGCATTTTTTTCATATTTTGTGTCGCGTCACCGTCACCTTTCATGACCATCTGTCAGACTACTATAGAGAGTTCAGTTTCCAGGATCCATCTTTCTCATAGATGGCTGTGTTCATAATTAGACATGGTTTCATTAGAGATATTATACTGATGGGCAGTCCTGTAGAGGATATCCATAGGGGCTGGGGTATTGATGAAGGATGAAGAAAGAAGCTCTCGTTCAATAATTATCAGTCACTATCCTGGGATATCAGGATAGTTGTTCAAGGAATATGATCTTACAGCCAGCCCGCCACGTCTTGTCTGTCGGATCTCAAAGCTGGGCGCGGCGTCAGCCACCGTCAGCTATCGTAGATACGGGCGACCTCGGGCGACCAGGTTCCACATCGGCCAGAATGATCATGGATGTAGCTTGGTTGGGATCGAAGCTCATTATAAGAAAAATCCTGTGTTTGGAGGCTGGTTTTTTTGTTGCATATCGAACGATGAGAGCTGCAGAGATTTTTGATCATCGTTCGATATTTGATTTGAAGACCCACGGCTAGAAAACCACTGAATACCGTTAAATTTCCATGTCATACCTCTGGTCTTTGTCGTAATTTTTGCGTCGAAGTAAAACATTTTGCACGAGTTCCCCGGCCTGGACCTGGACTACAATTGAGGTTGCCTACCAGCGATATATGCAATACATGATAAGAAGGGTGCTATAGAACAAGATAGGGAAAACTTGTTTGAAGAGAACTCGACAGAAACGAAATTTGAGATCGGAGATCGACCACCACCACTCCGACAAAACATCTCTTGGTTATTGAAGTTCCACCATACAGAATCGCCCCATCATTTCGAGAGCCTGGTAATTCAAAACGAAGTTGGTTGAAGATTGCCATGTTGTAATACATGCCCACAATATTGACGTAGGACGAAAAAAAAAGTTCAACCCCATCGTCACCGGTACACATCAACTCTTATCGACCGGAGTCGACGAGCACACAGGAACTGAGATGTCCCAGTCGCACATCAGCTTATCAGTTTCGGTTCAGGCCCCGCCATCCCTCTTCGCGTATTCCTCCTCCATCCGCTCCTCGTACAGGCGATCGGCTTCCTCCTTGGTCAGAGCGCGACCACTGTCAGTATTCTGCGACGCGCTGGCCGAGCTGCCAGGTGCGGTCCCGAAATAGCTGTTATTGTTGATAAGGTCAGGGGAAGTGTGTGTAGCCGAACTAGGAGGTTGGGTGCAGTTGACTTCGTGTTGTTGCTTGTCAAAGAGATCGGCAGTGGGAACAGGCATCTTGAGTGAGTGAAGTTTTGGGTCGTGATTGCGGTAGTGGTTTTGAAGGATGCAAGTTTGAGGAGGAGTGAGGATAGAAAAAATTCAAGCTGTTAAGAATGTGGTTGTATTAAGAATGTGGCAGCTGGTATTTTATGCTAGGTAGTGAGAGTTGGCCTGGTGGTTTATCGCCACACATGTGGCAAAGCTCGTTAGTCGGACGTCATATCAACCAACGAGGCCGGGAATTGAGAATCCAGCGATCAAGGTCTAGTAAATAGGGACACAGGGCACTGAAGCACAATGGAATAAACACGACGCGAACAGGATTTTACAATGAGCGATAACGACAGCACACACCATCTCACAATCACCGAAGGATGGAGACAAAAGAGCTTCGCATAACGAGTCCCGAAGGAGGCATCGAAATACTTGAACCAATTTGAAAATAACTCAAGAAACAAGTGCAGACGCTATCATACAAACATGCCCTGACGTCGCATTTTTTTTCTCAGATCACATCTCATCTTCAACCTCGAGCCACTGGCTCAAAACTTGATGAAAAGATATCCACGAAGGAGAGTGCCAAAGAATACGCCTGTCAATGACCACGAAGGCCATTGAACAAACTGTTCCGCCGCGCTGTGCAATGCAGGGACCAATCTGTGGTGAGCTGCCTTTATGATCGCATCCACCCAAACAAGGTAAGTATGAAGAAGAAAAGAAAAGGGGAGGAAGCAGCGGGCGAGCAGGGAATATTTATACATGTGAAGAAAAGCGGTGGCAAATATCGAAGGCTTTTGTTAATCTCTGATTGGCAAATAACCGAGAGCACGTGACTCCTGCCAAGACACATCTGCATGTGACACAGCTCATTCACCGCCCTCCCTTTCTGGATCTTTCTGACCTGTCAGGTTGAGGAATGACCGTCCCGCGTACAACATGTGTTCTAGGTATGTACATCGTAAAGCGCACAGGATACAGGTACCATGCATTTGCTTTTATGCTCTAGGGCTCAAGGTAAATGCTTGTGCCAGAGTGAAAATGAAATCATGAACCGATATATGGAGTACGGAGTACAGATACAGACATGAATCAATAATTGAAACCTCCTCGTTCGACGCCTCAAAACAAGCCAGACTCCATACCCGAGCTTGTGTGGATCCTCCCCTATTCCACAACTTTGTATTGTGGCTCTCGCCTCATTCTCACCTCCCGTATAGTGTGCTACCCAAAAACACAAAGACGTTTGAATCACAATTTGATTCGGATATTGTCCGTCGGAAATATACCTTTGTTCGGAGAGTTCTACAAGATTGAACCGGGAGAGAAACCCACAGTTAATCTCAAGCTAATTTTAAGCAAATGCCCATCTTCATCAAAGCGTGCCGTGGTTAAGTTCATCAAGTGGACGCTAGAGTCATCGGAGGGCATCGGAGAGCTTAGATGGACAGGAACCCCCCTCACCCGTCCCCTGCGTACACCGCAGGTCAAGGAGGTGCTTTGGTGCAAAGGATTAAGATTAATTTACTCGATAACGCGCTCGGGAGATGTGTTCTGTCTTTCTCGAAAGTGAAGTACTTGGTGTGGATCTAACTAGGTATAGTCCTGCTGCTGTAGCACTAAATTAAATGTAGTTTAATTTTTTTCCTACTAAAAACGTACTCTGTGCTCCGTATGCGGAGTAGCTAGTATCTGCATCATGTACGGTAAGATGTACAGTGATGGTCCACAAGTTTCATCACCCCTACTCTGCCCGCCCTAATCCCACCAATCAAAGACCTAATATTTTGAGCGGTATGGTAATTCCAGTAGGCGGTGCGACCTTCTAGGAAGGCGGTAGCCAAGGCGCGCTGAAGCTCATGGACTGTCACTAAATGTCCCTGCAACAATCTCAGCTACAATGTAGTCACATGGAGCAATAACAATGCATGCTGAAAAAGCGGGAAGGAATATCTCCAACATAGGCGCTTGAGCTCCGTTACGCATGGCACTTGCATGGTGTCAAAATTAGTCCATACATCGATAAGAGAACATAAAAGATCGACAAGCCCGACTTGGAACAGTAATGTGATCGACGTTGACCAGGAAATTTCAACCATTCATAGACACAGCAGAAGCAGGGATAAGACTCACGACTCGCGACCGCAAAAAAGGGCGTGAGGATAAACAGTTCCGAGTAGCGCTGGCCCTAACGGGTGCAAAAGGGGGCCAGGACAGGGTGTGATGAGTTACCGAGCAGGGGATGGATTCCCCCGTGTGTCCATCATCACTGGAAACACCATATGTATACAACACAAAGGCGGTTAAAAATTCCTATACGACTGGGACGATGAGCTCATGGTGCTTATTCTGATGATAGTGGCAGTTCGATCAGAATCATACAACGTACCAATAAAATGGTGCCACACTTACATTGTGTAGCCGGGAAAAAAAAAGAACTTTGTACCAGGGCACTCTCCGTTCTGGCGTTGGGCCTGCAGACGCTATCTTGTAGATGAACCGTGGAAACGATGCCAAATAAAGTGCATTGATTCACCTGGGCAGAGTTTTTAGGGCTGGTCAACCCCTATTCGCTAAGACTCAATTCTAAATGCATAACATGGTGGAGATCATGTTATTTTTTTTCCTTAACGGAGTGCACTTTGTCATTGATAAACTTAGAAAAAAAAGGTAGCGGACGGGGTACTACGTATATTGTAAAGGGTGAAAGAAAAGGGGCTTGATTAGGGCCATAATGGTCTAAGTCTGTGGATTTTGTCTCTCGTTTCATGTATGATCTTTTGTACAACGATATAAAGTTGTATACCTCAAACTCCGTGGGTTGGTACCATGACGAGAGGATCCTCGTATAGAATGATGCGCTTATCACGTAAAGAGGCGACACGCTGTGATGATGCTGGGATTGGCCTGACAAAAACATCATGGGATCCTTCCCGCAGGGTGATCAAGATAGTTGATCCACCGATAGGGACATTAAAGCCAGAGCCAAGAAGGAGGGGTTGTGTCAATGTTGGTTGGTTGTCCCCGAGGGTTTGCACGCCACTCCATCATAGAGTTGATATCGGGTCATGGGGTCTGAGTAAAGATTGCACCAAAAAGTCGTGACGGCCAACCATTCTGTAGAACCTAGCGATGAGTGCATTGCCCCAGTAGCCAATAAAGGGACGAAGTTCAGATATGCAGATTATTGAGATCATCACGAAGGAAGAAAATGATGGGCTGTCTTGTGGTGAGGGGCATAGAATACAGGGATACCCCTCCAAAGGGTTATTCTAGTCCATGGCCCTTCCGAGGGATGGAGAGGCTTGCCAGCTCGGATCGGGTTGTCGACTATGCGGCGTAATACGAAAATACCATTGAGACGCCTACTCCGTAGTTGATTTGATAATGAATTGGCTATTTCAGAAATTCTGACGGCAACGCCCCCTTGAACTGTGTAACGGAATAGTTGAGCGCGATGATAAAATGAGCGCCAACGTTGTGGTGGCCCACTGAACGATCATAGAACCCTCCTTACGGGGCCAGGAAGTATGAAATTATGTACTTATACTTTTTTATAGTCTTATGACCTGATGCCATCCGAGACAACCCCGCCATGACGATATGAGACTAACAATTTGTTATTTTTTTTTTGTATAGAATGGAATGCACATGAAACAGAAAGAAATGTTGCAAGACACTATCAAATCGGTTAGAGGATCCGAACTGCACGGATGAATTAGGGGATACGACGAAGTAGACGGGACGGGACCTTTTGACTCAAAAGCTGCATGGCCGATCATAGCTCGGGTGGCCATGGTGTGATGGTTTCATACGGAATACGGTTCAAAATTTGCAGAGTTTTCTCCTATTTCCTTGATATTTACGAACTAAAATCAGTTAGATCAAGTCTAGCGCCGTGCTAGACAAAGAAAGTTCGTATCTTACGAAGTATCCCGTCTTGGGTGTGTGTAGATGTACACTATGCTCCACGCCTACAAAGTTGGTTTCAACCCAATTTTCGTATACAGTAAACTTGTGAGATCTTGCAAAAAGAAGTGGGAATAGACCATAGTTTTAAAAAACAAGGTAAAAATAGTGCTCGGAAAAAAAAAAAAAAACAAGCAGAAAAAATTACCAAAAAAAACCCCCCCCATTTCACCCCCTGAAGTGCCATTAGCTAATCTGGTGGGTCCCCTGAGCTCTGGGCTCCCTGCAGGTCCTTTCCTATTTTGGGAGGACGCCATCAATCACCCTCTGACTCTTTTTCCCTTTTTCCTCTCTTCCTTTCTTCCTCCCACAGAGCAGAACAACCTACTTCGTGATACCCCGAGCTATTGTGCTCTAATTTCCTTTGCTTTTCCTTTGAGATACCCTATACCCAACCCGCCTCTTTCCCATTACGAAGCTCTGCTTCTTTAATACATTTATTATTTTAATCATGTCTGAAGTCCAGAAGACCGTTGAGGAGACCCCCGTGGCCGTCCCTATCATTGAGACCCCTGTCCCTGAGACTCTGGCTGAAGTTCCTGAGGAGGCCACCGAGGCCGCCGAGCCCACTGCCACTCCCGCCATCGAGAGCACCGACGCTGCTGAGCCCGTCAAGGAGGAGGTGAAGCCCGCTACTGAGGGTGTTCTGGGTTACAAGGCCCCTGGTCTGGTCAAGTGAGTTGCAACTGAATGCCACACACGCGACACCGCCTAACGAGTTTTCTTTTTCCCCCAGGGGCTTCCGCTTCGCGAAGCGCTTCTTCTACTTCAACGAGGAGGCCGTTGAGAGCAAGCAGCTCTCTGGCTTTCACCAGAACGAGAAGGCAGCCGTTGCCAACCCCACCGCCGCCTGGGCCAGCCAGACTGGCAAGGGTCTGCTTTTCTACACCAAGCGCGCCGAGGACAAGGCCACACCCGCTGGCATTTTCAACCTCGTAAGTGCCTTGGCGATTGTGCCGTGATACAAGAATCACTAACATGCTCGAATAGGCCGATGTCTCTGATGTGACCAAGGAGGGGTCTAGCGAGTTTATCTTCAAGGTTGCTGGCCACAAACACACCTTCCAGGCCTCCAGCGCGGCCGAGCGTGACAGCTGGGTTATCGCTATCGAGACCCAGGCCACCGCAGCCAAGGCCGAGAAGGAGACCATCACCTCTGGTGAGGGCTATAAGGCCGAGCTCGAGAAGCTGACCAAGCCTGCCGTTGCCGTTGCCGCCGCCAAAAAGCCCGAGGAGAGGAAGTTTGAGGACAAGAAGGAGGAAACCCCCGCTGTGGCTGATGAGGCCGCTCAGGAGGAGCACAAGGATGAGAAGTCTCCTAAGAGTCGTTCTCAGTCCCGCAAGCGCACCAGCATCTTCGGTTCCCTTCTCGGTAAGAAGGACACCGAAGAGAAGCGCGAGGAGACTCCCGCTGCTGAGGAGACCAAGTCTGCCGCCGAACATGCTGCCGAGCCCACTGCTGAGCCTGCTGCCGAGCCTGCTGCCGAGCCTGCTGCTGAGCCTACTGCTGAGCCCTATTCCGAGGCTGCCATTCCTGTTGTTGCTGAGCCCACTGAGGCTGTTGCTGCCCCCGCCGAGGTTGTCGAGTATGCTGCTGAGACCCCCACTGAGACCTCCGAGGCTGCCAAGGAGGAGGTGAAGGAGGAGGCGAAGGATGAGGTGAAGGATGAGAGGAAGGATGAGAAGAAGTCCGAGAAGAAGGCCAAGCGTGCGTCCATCTTCGGCACCTTCTTCCAGAAGGTCGCCAGCCCATCCCATGAGAAATCTGAAAAGGAGGTTACTGCCCTTGCTGCTGTGGGGACTCCTGTCGCGAACACCGCTCCTCAGCTCGAGAGCCCCGTCGATGAGGCCTCAAAGCCCACCGAAGCCGAGGCCGTGACTGCTCCCGCTGAGGCCGTTGAGGCCCCTGCTGCCGATACTCTTGCTGCCGAGCCCGTCTCCAGCCCCAAGGAGAAGCGCCGCACCTCTTTCTTCGGCAACCTTGGCATCAAGAAGGAGAAGAAGGCTGACTCTGACAACGAAGTCACCGACGGTGAGGCCAAGGAGACCAAGACCAAGAAGCGCGGTGGGATTTTCCGCAAGCCCAGCAAGGCTGTCAAGCTTGACAAGGAGGAGGTCACTGCCGCCGAGACCGAGGCTAAGGCTGAGGCCTCTGAAGAGGTACCTGCCGTCTCTGCCAAGGAGACCGCCACTGATGCCCCCGCTGTCGTCGAGGAGACCTCCGAGGCCGTTGAGACTGCCGAGGACTCCAAGAACATCAATGTTGCCGCCACCACCCCTGTTCAGGCTGCCGCGTGAAGCGTGACTCGTAGACCTGTCGCACAGTTTGAACGGTGGTGGGATATGTCCTATCCACCGTCCGCCCGCGATATCCCTGACGGTCTAATTGAGTCCTGAAGTTGCAAATTTGATACCACTTCGTACCATCTGTTTTTTTTTTCCCTCGCCACTGTCGTTGTTCTCAGCACCCCATGCTCCCCCTTATAATCGGGCCTGGTCCTGAGAGAGCGACAATGAGATACCCGCTGTCGCTTTTTTTTTCTTTTGATCTCTATTTCTCTAAAATAATACCATCGGCGCAAACGACGCCAGCAGCCCTTCGGACTGCGGTTCATTCCTTTACGACCTGTGTCGTGCGACTGTGATTCTACTCGCAACGCGATTATGCGTTACGTGGCGGTCGTTCGACTAGATTGATACCACTCTGCTTTTTTTTGGTTTCCTGCTTTTGTGTTTGATACCCTGTGGGGAGGATGGGTGCTCTTTTTGCTTGTTGCTTGAGCTTTGGATCTGGTCTTTTGACTTGTTTCTTCATGCAACCCAAATTGACCCTCTAATGTTGTCTACCGTTACTGTCCCGAACGGCTGGTTTATATTCCGCCCGTGGAGGCACACCTTGCGATAGGTAATGCGTAATTGAATAGCTCAGCTTTTGCTTTTTATATATCTACTATGTCTGAATAAAATCCAACGTAAAACAACGTCTTCAACTCGATGAATATTTCAGTGTCGTCAAGGTGAGCAGGTGAGAATCATTGCGGGAGACGGGCCGAGGCTAGAGCCATTCTCCACCACCCCACATCTGCATCTGTATAACAGTAGGAATACCTTTTCTACTCTTCTTTTTCCCCTTATGCCATCTCGTAAAATTTCGACTACAAAGACAGAGTCTTTTACTCTCGAGCGCGAAGCTTTCACTCTTCTATCCAACCTGCAGCAACGGCAACAGCAAAATCAACCACCTACGGCGCCCACAGCACCGTAATTTGAGCCTCTCAACATCGAATCCACCATGGGCATAGTGCCAATCTACCCAACAAGCACCATGTTTGGCTTACCATCATTCCATTATGTGTCGTCCTCAGTCTCGGAGCCCTAGACGCAATACTGTCGCCACAGCCGTGCCGGGTATCACTGACCACTTCCTTGCTGTCGACGACGTGGGACGGTACGCATCTGCATTTCGATTCTGCATGTGCGCGCTCCAATTCGGTTTCACCAAGCTGTATAAGCTCTTCTCCATCACCTGAGGCCATTCTCTTAGTAAGCATCGTTATTGCTAAGCCATTCCGTAGAAGTTTTTTTGTTTTGGTTAGCAGACTGAGCCTTCTTCATATGGTTTTAACAGGGTACACAGAATCCGGGATTTGCTAGTTCCAATCATCATGATTCTTCCTTCTTTCTCTCTCTCCCTTAGCCTATAGTAGCCCAAGAGTTCTTTTCCTCATTGGCTCTTTAACTCTGTGCCACGACTGCTTCGTCGGTCAGGTTCATTATAGGGCAAGCAGTGACGGGTCTAATGTTCTCGGGTGAGATGACTGGGTGCTTTGCGATTATCGTGCACATTCTACCACTCAATAAGCGACCAGTATTTACGGATTTGATGGCTTGTGTGGAATCGCTTGCGACCATTTCGGCGCCTGTAGTAGGTAGTGCATTGACGCAGTCTTTGGGAGTGGGGATGGTGTTTTCGGTATGCTCTTCTAGTCACAGAAATGATCAAGGTATCTTGCCACTGACCTTTTTCGTAGGATCAACCTTTCCATTGGAGGATTAGCACTGCTGGTCATGTTTTCCCTCTTCTCGGAACTAAGAACATGGTAAGAAGACGACAGGATGTCATCTCTGAAAGCCAGAGAGCTGGACCTCGTCAGCAACTCCTTGTTCATTTCACCCCTAACTGCGCTCTTTAGCGTTCTGTCTCGCGGTGGGAAATAAGGTATCCTTGTTCAGATGGGAAAGTGATTGCATTGTTCATTGCATTTGGTGTGCTACTCGCAGCTTTTGTCTATGAATAGGTTGGCGTCAAGTTTGGAAGAAGTTGTTTCAGGGCTGATTCCTAGGTTTGTTGAATAGCACAGGCTGGGCGATAGTCAGAATGGTGTTCCTACGAACCGCTGAGATGAGGTCTTGGGTGGCATCAATGTGAGCCTGACTCATCCTTGGTATCTCCCTGTCACGTTGGCTTGCATGGCGATGGCAGGGAAGTCTTATAGTTGAATGGCGCTCGGTTAAGCAGAAGCAGTCGTGAAGTATGGGCTGGCGGTACGGAAGGAGCGGTCCGACAGGGAAGGTTGTGGACGTTCTTTAATGTCCATCTAGAGTGTACGAAGGCGGTCAAAAGTATAGACCACAAAGAGGAATCTTCACTTTTTCTCTGTATTGTACATGCATGTAACCTTGATAGTCGCAATTACATGTATTTAGTTGCATAACACATGTTCATTTCCACATGTCCTCGGAAAGCCCCACTCGCGAGGGAATATCCAGAACGTGTACGGAGTACTTCACAGTTGCATATGTCTATGCAAGCAACACTCGTAGTTGAGGATTTAGCGACCCCATCGCGATGCGTTGGTGGTATGTGCATTTTTAAAACATGCCGTGCCAAATATGTAGCCCCATTTTAGGAAATCACCATTCGACTAGGCAGGCATGTATGGTGTACACGATGCCCGTGATATTGGCTTCTCACACGACCTCATAATTGCGGTTACCTACATTTAACTTTTGATTATTATGTTGAATGAAGAAGGATTGACAAAAGTCTAGAATTGAAGGTCAACTGTAGCAGCTATGACTTTCTTTTTCTAGGCTATCCGTAGTAAGGTGTCCCCCGGGCTCCTATTTCGGCGAAGCCTCGGCCCTCGCAAGGTAGGATTTCTGAAAATCCAGAATAGAAAAATTTCGAAAAATCAAGCCTGGACGTCGGAGTAATCCGTCAGCGGGTACTCCGTATACTCCGAAACATTCTCCGTAGCGTCAAGAGTTGGCTAAAGAGCTTTCAATCAAAGTTTCTTGGAGACCAATACAATATAGCATTGAGCCTTTAATTTTTCTGAAACCACATAGTATATAAGAAACACTAGTTCCAATATACGGCGTTTATGCATCTATAACGTTGTACGGAGTACTCCGTGCATTCAAACTATTTCAGTTTCAGACAGGACAAACGTCAAAAAGTCAATTTCACGCCCTTCGGTAGGACTGAAGAAACGTGAGCATTTCATAGGACATTGACCCTGGACTCAGCCCACCGCGGGGACATAATTGGGAAAAGATCGGTGGGTCTTTTGCATATTGCTATCCTTCTGGAGAACGGCTCTACCTCCCCGAGTTTGTAAGCCGGTATGAAGTACATAGCGGGAATTGATCTCCAAGAAGATACGTTGCACTTGTTTGAAGATATTTTGGGAAGTAAGATAAAAAAAATGAAGCAAATTAATTTAGAAATGAAAAGGACGGAGTACTCCGTGCTAAGGATGCGTATTCCGAAGGGATAGGAAAATGATCGATGATTGGTCAATTTGAAAAGAACAGAAAGAACGTGGAGACAGGTACTTGAAAGAAGGTGGAAAGATACTTGAACTATGTAGGCAAATGCAAGCGAAGTCGTGGGTATCGTCCAATGTAGACGCCTGGTCCCACTGAAGCCAATCAGAGTCATGGATCACATTCTGACTCACACCCCGTGACTTGCAACTACTAAGCCCCGTGCGGCTCCCGGCTCCCGATTGGTCAGCACCAGGGCACACAGCCCTTAAGAAGTGCCTGAGTTCCCCCTCCCCGTTTGCCTGATTTTTCTTCCTCCTTATACCAGCTGTTCTTACATACCCCCTTTACATTCACAAAACCGCCATATTGCTTTCAGATCACAACTATCGTCAACTTCATTACCGCCAAAATGGGTGCCCAATAAGCTCCCCATCTTTCAACACCCAGTCTATCTCAACTGAGACAGACATTATTTCTTCAACCGGAACCAACCCTATCATTTCCTCTCCTCCCCCTTCAGAGTCTCCTTTTGGACCTCTGAACTTCAGCATCGCATCGCGTAGCTCGAGTTCTCCCAACACTTTTACCCCGACCGACTTTACGTCGTTCACCACGGATCACCACCAGCAAACATGGCTTCCCTCACCCCCACCATCACAGCCCTTGGCTTCCAACCAGAACAAAAGCAGCAACAACAACAGTGCACTCGAGGACTTCGTGCTCTATCCATCAGCAACACCACAAGTGCAGCCCCGTTTGCGTGTGCCCGTGAACACTACCCATAGACCTTCTGCACTTCAGCCATTTCTGGCGCAGAACAACCCTCGACGACACTCCTTCAGTCTGCAGTTGCACCGGCATCTCCAGCAGCAGTTCTCTGGCTCACCTGTTCAAGATCCCAGAGTGACCCAGCTTGCCCGGTCCCCCTCTTATTGGTCCCGTCCCACGTACACGCATAACCGTTCCAACACGGCTTCTGTGCTTTCCAATTTTTCAATTACGAACCGCCCTCCTATCCCGCTTTTCAACGGTCAACAGAACCACGCAAACAACACGCAAACATACAGACGTGTCATGTCCACTCCCAACTTCATGGAAGGTAATTCATCTCACTTTTCACAATCTCCTAGTGAATATATCGCTAACCCCACCCAAGCTCACGAGGTTGATCTTTTCGGTCTTCCCTCTGCCGACTTCCCTGCTAGCATGGCTTCGCCTCTCTCGTTCAACGATCTTGGTCTGGCGAACGACTTCTCCCCTGAAGGTCCTCCGGGCACGATCTCGCCCAAGGATCTCATGATGGATGCGTCTGTTCCTCCCTCCGGCACCTTCACCGACCTGAGTACTCCCTCGTTCGAGTCGCCCGGAAACTTCAGCCAAAACACTTCACCCATGTTTACTGACCTGGACATTGTCGGCCATGAAGATTGGCCCTCCCTCTTTGATCACTCGTCAGATCCACTCAATGTCTTTGACCTCGCTACCTTGGATGTCGCAGCTGCCTTCCCGATCGAGCAGAAGAAGCCAGCCCTGGTAACTCCTATGTCTCCTGCCTCTCCTCGTGCGAAGCGATCGGCGGGATCGTCGCCTGTTCCCGCCTCCGGTTCAGTCAAGCACTCCAGCGTCGCTGGTATCAACCCGCGTGCGCGCAAGAACCTGTCGCCCGTTGAGTTCGATCCCAATGATCCTGTTGCTGCGAAGCGCGCTCGTAACACCGAGGCCGCCCGTAAGTCGCGCGCCAAGAAGATGGAACGGCAGTTCACTTCTGAGCGTCGCATCGAGGATCTTCAGAAGATCATTGCTGAACGCGACGCGGAGATTGCCAAGCTTAAGGCTCAGCTTCAGATTCAAAACACCTACCAGTGATGGTGATGCTTTCATCCCAAATTGAGGCATTGGTCTTTGGTTTATGGCCTGTATGGTGATTCTGACGACTGTTAACGATTGAACATCTAGTCTTGTTGGTGTTTTCAATGTTTGTTTTGGTTTCCTATTGACCCTCTGGGTATTGTGGTAGGCGTGGGTGATGGGTAGAGCCTAGCCCCGCCGTCTCACCGAGGTCAGATGAACGCGATTTGGTTCGTCTCATCTGAATCTCCTAAAAGTTTTGAGAGATCTTTCCTAGTCAATTTCTCTCTTCTGATTTCTGATTCTCATTTTGGTTTCGCAACTCTGTTGTCCAAGATTACCTGCTCCGTTTTTGTTTTCTTTTTGTTGGGCCGGTTCTGATCGTCTCCCTACGTGGGATTGACTCGTGGCTATCTTAATTGTGATATTTACCTGTTTGAATCAATTTTCTTACTCTTTCTCTTCTTCCCACCTGTAAAATAGTGTTCTAGTAGGCTAGATAATCCATCCTTGAAAGATCACTGTATCATGTGGACTACGCACAGCGTGGGCTCCTGGCTCCCACCCAGCACCAATCCCCCTTTCCTTACAGGTGCCATTCTCACCAAGTACATATGTAACCCACAATGATCATTTTGCATTTCCCCGAGGTGAAAGGACAAATGTATCATCTAACGCAGCTCAGACTTGCCTTTTAAATGCCTCATAAACACACCCCAATCCCCCCAAACCACCCCCTATCTCATACCATCCACACTTCCAACCAAGCCTTCCAAATTCCCTCTCTGTACCAACAACCCAAACTGCACTTCATCCCTCCGCGTCTCGCCCGCTTCCTCTCAGCATGAGCTACGCGCCGTCCGAGGACTGCTGTTGCTCTATGAATGAATGAAAGAGGGCGGGAGACACTGAGAGAGATGGGGCGTTCGGAGTTCTGTGTGCAGGGGGGTCGGAGACTTGAGATGGAAAGGGGTGTTTGTGGATGATGTATGTATTGAAATGAAGGAAGGCTGGTTTGTTGGGTGAGGTGGAGGTTTCGGAAGTATCTGTTTCCATGTTCTGTCATCATAGCTGGTGGCGGTGGGGTATAGGAGAAAAGTGAAAGGGAGAAGAGGGAATCTAAAGAGAAAGAAGGCGTAGATGGACGGATGTGTAGGATGTAGGAAAGATGTATGGGATACGCGCAAAGCACCTCGAAAAGACATGAAACAAACAGGCAGCAGAAATCCATCCGCCACCAGTCTCAGCTCAAAGCATCCGTGCCTCTCGATCTCCCCGTCTCCATCTTAGCCGTCCTCGCGCCGAATTGAATGGCCCGCTTCTTCTCACGAGAAACCTTCACCAAGCCCAGCCGCAGAGCAACAAGTCGCAATGCCAGCTTCTCAGAATCAATACCAGCCGTGGCCTCGACCTCCGGAAGCCCGAATCCGCATTTCTCCCATACAGGAGCCCGCAGCACCCAAGCCACGAACTCCTCGTCCAGGAATGGGAAACGCGTCTCGCGGCCCCAGTGGGAGAGGACGCGGTCGTCGCGGCCGAGATTGCGCGAACCGAGCCGACTAACGTCGAGATCAATCTCGGCGATCAGGTCTTTGAATCCGCCTCGGTTGAAGGCGATGCCGTGTCGGCCGTAGCCGGCGAAGAGCTCGTCGGCGCCCAGGCCGGAGAGGAGGACACGGGAGGTTGTTGTGTAGAGGGGTGATGGAGGGCTGTCTGGGGTTGGCAGTTCGGCTGAGGGGTTTGTTTGGGCTGTGCCTTGGCCGCGGGATGCGAAGTACAAGGCGCATGCGATGGAGATGTCCATTTCGGTATTATGGGGTCTCATTAGGCGCTTGACTTGGTCCCTGTGCGCGAGGGTTTCTGTATAGGGGATGTCGATGGCGATGAAGCGCCATGTGCGGCCTGGACAGGTCATTTGGAGCTCGATATGAGCGGACCGGCCGGTTATCCGGTCAGGGCAATTTTCATATATTGAGAGTGGTGGTGTCGAGGTTGCGGATTTTTGTTGGTTGGCTTTTGCGGCGGCTGCCACTCGTGGGTTTTCAAATGCTACATTGAGGAGGTCGATTGGTTCGTCGAGGGGGAGAATGTCATGAGAGAGTCTGGCGAGCAATGTACAGTCTAAACCGCCGGAGAAAAGGACGGCTGTTTTGGCGGTCTGGCCTGGAATGTAGCCAGGAGGCTCGGGGACGTTCCGAATTCTCAATTCGAGTGATTCACGCAGTTTTGACTCGAGCTCCTCAACGAATACTGAATCTGTGGACAATGCCGGAGGCTGCTCTGTTGGTAGTGATGTGTTCATGGGTGGAATTGATTTTCTCTTTGGCATCTTGTCAGTTGCGGCTCTTAGTGGAAAGATATGAAGGACATACAATGTGATCAGCTGGCGGCGAAGCAGAAGAGCTCCATGGCAAGATCTTAATTTGGCACAACTCTCTGGGAGAAAAAGAGGGATCTTGATAGCGAGCTAGGTCAATCGTACAAACACCTTCAGTGCCCACTTCTTTAAAGCAATCCACCAACGAGCTGTCGCAGATGCTGCAAATCTTCAAATTCCCATTTTCATCAAATCCCTCCAGGAGAGATCGCCTCCCAAGACAATCCCTACTGTAAAAGAGTCTCGAGTTGATCGCGTCATAGAAGACAAAGGCAAATGGTCCAGAGACACTTGCAATAGCTTCAACCATTCTTTCAACAGAATCCTTCTGACCGCTGTCCACTGCCTGTAGAAATAAGTTGAAAACGCGTTCGGTATCATTGCCTTGGACGCGCTCCCCGGCAATCTTCCAGGCCTCTCCGTTCCAACAGAGCACAGACTGGGTTCTGGGATCTACAAGTGGTTGTGTAAACACATGCTCGCCTCTCAATGAAAGTACTGTAGATGTGAAGGTGAGATAATAGGAAACTGGAGGAGACACTCCCTCCTGTGCGTTGATATCTTTTTGCGCTGTGTGAGTTTTGTAGCTGTCTGGTCCTCGCTTTTGAAGCAGAGTACAGGTCTCCTGTGTTGGTAGTGTGGGCTTTGATGAGCTCAACGAAAAGAAAATCCCACACATGGTGGAGGAACAGGGTAGGAGTATTGTTTATTCCGAGATGGTTGGCTTGGTAGCTTTTTTTGGCTATACAGATGCCTGAGGCATAGTGCACATTAGTCATTTCTATAGATCCACCCTTGACCTGGGCATCCACAAGGTCGCCTGTCACCAGCAGATGCATTTACAGATTGTAAGATGTTGAAATTCTAGTTGGTATTCACCTCTTTATACTGCGTTTGAATTTCAGATCAGTGAGAGGTGAAGGGCATCATGCAGGTACCTCCAAAAACTCCCTGGCATTTTTGAACGAAATGTGGGCAGTAACTGGATGTTGTTGCTGCTTGAAAAGCCCATAATACCATGATGCTCTATTGATTAATCTTTTTGTCTGTTAATCTGGTCTTCTCAGATGGGGGAAAGAAACCACCTAGGCACTCGTTCCTCCAGACGTCAATGTAGCCTCCAAGGCCGAATCAAGAAACGGATGGCCTCGGTTGAATGATGATCCGCACATCACCAGAGAGCCGCATGAGCATGCTCGGAGTCCTTATGACCCCCCTGAATCTATCAATTTTGCCCGGGATTTTTGCCCGGGCGCCTATGTTTAATATAACTTATGTCGGTCACAGAATCCCCGTCCTCTCCGGGTTCCGAGACAAGAGACGTCCCTCACATCCATGAGCACACTGAGACGCCGGCCGCTCCAACCGATCTCCTAGCTCAAACACAAGACAATCTCGTGAAACCAGATAGCAGTCAAACGGTCCAAATGAGTGTGCAAGACACAATAGAGTCACATGCTGTGACAGCTATCTCCGATCCCACCACGACCGCTGCGATGGATTTGACGACAGCTGCCGAATCACCACATGCAGAGGAACAACTTGCGGGGCAGATGGAAGGACTGTCAGTCTCAGGAAATATGACACCTAACCTCTCATCCAGAGCAAATGCTTCTCCACCCCCTCTGCCCCAGAAGGACGATGTTTACCTCAACCTCAACGCAAGCTCCACTACCACTGCGCCAACACTGCCACCCATCGACACAAACCGGACCTTCAGCCCCGAGAAAGAGCTTCCAGATGTGCCTGGTGATAGCGATCTGGACTCTAAACGAGGTGGTCATGTTGATGCGCCCAGGGATGAAAATGCCTCTCAGCCGGAGATTCAAAGTATTATGGGACAATTCCAGGACCCCGCGCGGAGCACCGACCAAAAAGAGATTATGTCTCCGCGGCTCGAACTTGCTGAGAAATTCCGAGGCGGTCCAACATACTTCCCGCCACGCAAATCCAGTTTGGACCATGCGCCTTCCACCCAATCCGAGGGCTCCCCGGTCGCTAAATCCCCGGAGAAGCAGCCTGTATCCCAACATCCTTACAAGCCTGAACTGCCCGTAGAAAACCGACGAGCTTCCACCTCGATGGTCCTACCACTGCCGGAACCCGAGTCTGACCAACCGTTCGATTTCCACCGTTTCCTAGAACAGCTACGTCACCGTACCGCCGACCCTGTAGCCAAGTTTCTGCGGTCGTTCCTCATGGAGTTTGGCAAGAAGCAATGGATGGTTCACGAGCAAGTCAAAATCATCAGCGACTTCCTGACATTTATCACCAACAAGATGGCCATGTGCGATATCTGGCGAGATGCATCGGATAGCGAATTCGATAATGCCAAGGAAGGTATGGAGAAACTTGTGATGAATCGTCTGTATTCGCAGACTTTCGCCCCAGCCATTCCATCTCCACCAACGATACCCAGAAGTGCAAGCCGGAGCCGACGGAGAGAGCTAGAGAGGCTTCATGGGCCATGGCGACGTGGTCAGCATCAGGAGGACATTGAGCGAGATGACATTCTGGCCCAGAAAATTCGCATTTACAGCTGGGTCAACGAAGCGCATCTAGACATCCCGACTGTGAGCGGCAGTGGACGCCGTTTCTTGAATCTGGCACAGCAAGGTATGTATTTTGGGCTATCTTGGGGAATTTTACAAGTTTCTGATTATCTGACTTGGACAGAAATAACCAAAATCAATGGCTATCGCGCTCCCCGAGATAAGGTCATCTGCATTTTGAACTGCTGCAAAGTCATCTTTGGTCTATTAAAGAATTCTAAAAAGGCCGACACATCCGCCGACTCTTTTATCCCCCTCCTGATATATGTGGTTTTGCAAGCAAACCCTGACCACCTTGTTTCTAACATTCAATACATTCTTCGATTCCGCAATCAGGATAAACTTGGCGGCGAAGCAGGTTATTACATCTCGTCGTTGGTATGCTTGACTTCCATACTGCCTCAGAAATCAACAAACTGACCTTTCTTCAGTCTGGAGCCATCCAATTCATCGAGACACTCGACCGCACAAGTCTAACCGTCAGCGACGAAGATTTTGAACGTAACGTTGAAGCTGCCGTGTCCGCTATTGCAGAACAAAACCGGGAATCCGAAACCTTTGAAGAAAAGCCCTCTACCCAACCCCCTACATCTCAGCCCCAAGCCGGATCAAGCCGCACAGAAAGTGCCCAATCCAGTGACGATGACATCTCCGCGCCAGTTGCAGGACTACTACGCACAATTCAAAACCCTCTTTCCACCATCGGCCGCATCTTCTCCGATGACCCAGACTCAGGGTTTTCTGCAACTCAAGAACGCCCCCAGCCTGTCCCGACGCCCCAACCAGGTATTGCTCCGCCACGTCTCACCCCGAATGTCTACCAGCCTCCGCGCGCAAGCAGCGAGGAAAGTCGTCGCTCAAGCGATGAGCGCGCCCACGGTAGCGGAACCTTCGCGAAAAAGAATCTTACCCGCGTTCTCGACGCTCAGGATGCCGCCGCACGCCAGGCTAGTGCCGAAGATGCGGAGGCGCGCCGTATCCAACGTGCTGAACATAATAATGTTGTCGAGACACTTTCAAACATGTTTCCCAACCTAGACCGTGAGCTTATTGATGACGTCGTTAAGATTAAGGAGGGGAGGTGGGTACTTTCTATCCTTGCAGAAGTGTGAGCGTTCTATTGGGGCTCGACTAACAGTTTCTCACAGGGTTGGTCTCGCTGTTGATGCTTGTCTTGCTCTCAGTGCAGAGTAGGATATATTATAATGTAGCGTCTTGACTGGTTCGAGAATATCATGTCAGAAACACTCCTAGCAGGAATAGCGTCTCTCTTTCTCTCTCTCTTGTACTTGACTTAGAATTAAACGAAGTTTGGAGTTGTTTTTTTTTTCTAAAAAAGAGAACCTGCAGGCTCCTTCGCCTGGCAAAGAGCAGGACATAGCTTCAATGGTTACACTTCGTCGCGTCCAAACCAACAGAAACTAGGAATGTTTGCTGCAAGAACATCCCATCTGATCGAATTTACATTTTTCTATGCACCTAAGTATAAGCGGTTGTGGAAAGGATGGTTGTCGGCAGTTGAACATAGGCGAATGCCTCCAACCCCAAAGATCCTCGGCTCGTTTCCGACGTAAAACCGCGGCCACTCGGAGTTCCACTGACCCCATTCTCCTTTACATCCTCTGAAACAATTCCAAACTGGAAAAAAATTATTAAAAGTGATCTCTTCTCCCTCTGAGGGCAACAATAGACAACATGTCATCTCCTTTCCGTATCGTTGAGCATGTCGTGCCTACCCAGCATATCAGGGAGTATCCGGGGGCCACGGCCAATGACCAAGAAGAGCCCTTACATCTGGCCGTGAAACAATATATCCCACTGGATAATCCTAACCCGCAAGCCGGCGATTTTACGATTCTTGCTGCCCACGCGAATGGCTTCCCCAAGGTACGAGAGACAAACTGCCGAGGCCTAGAGCCGCCAGGCCCGCTTTTGGAACTGCGCGCATTACAATGGCCCTCGAAGTGTAGAATCAGCGGTGTGCTGATCAATTCTCGCAGGAACTTTATGAGCCACTTTGGGAGGAAATACACGCTCGGTCTAAGCAGAATGGAATACGCATCCGCAGTATCTGGATGGCCGACGTGGCGCAAGAAGGCCAAAGCAGCGTGATCAATGAAGATTCCCTCGGAAATGATCGTATGTAAAGTGAATATCTTATAGGAAGCAATCGTGCTGCTAACTTCATTTCAGCTAGCTGGTTTGACCACCCCAGAGATCTCCTCCACCTAGTCAATGTCAAGCGGGCTGACATGCCCCGACCTATCGTTGGCATAGGGCATAGCATGGGAGGTGCCCATCTGTGAGTTTCAATTGCAAGAACATCCACGCAGCAGCTGGCTAAGATAACCCCTAGCGCACAACTATGCCTAATGCACCCCCGACTCATCCACACACTAGTCCTCCTAGACCCGGTGATCCAACGCCAAACCACCCAGTTAGACGGCCTCAGTCTCCAAATAAATAAATCGGTGATCGCCAAAACCACCCAACTATCAACCTACAGACGCGATATCTGGCCCTCCCGCCAAGCCGCCGCAGAAAGCTTCCGTCGCAGTCCCTTCTACCAAGCCTGGGATCCACGAGTGCTATCCCGCTGGATCGAGCACGGCCTGCGCGACCTACCAACAGCAATCCACCCTATAGACCCCAGGATCCCGATAGACAAAATTAAGGGGCCCCCGGTGACACTTCGGACCCCACTGCACCAAGAAGTGTTCACCTTCTCGCGGCCAAACTACACCAACGTTCCAAACAGCACCAAGCCCGTCAATCGTGTAACACACCCAGACCTAGACGCAACCTACGCATGCAACTACCCCTTCTACCGCCCAGAGCCAGCTCGTATCTTCTCCCAGCTCCCATTCCTGCGCCCCAGCGTGCTGTACATCTTTGCCGGCAAGTCGGACATGTGCATCCCCTCCATGCGTGCCGATAAGCTCGCTAAAACCGGCACCGCGGTGGGCGGGAGTGGCGGCGTTGCTGTAGGCCGTGTGTGTGATGTCTTCTTCGAGGATTTTGGTCATCTCCTTGCTCAGGAGGCTGTGAATGAGTGCGCTGATGCGGCGGTTTCTTGGCTTGCGCCAGAGATCCGTCGCTGGCGCGCTGAGGAGGAGAGTTTCCGTGAGGCTTGGAGTCAGAAGTCGAAGATTGAGAAGGTTACTGTTGATGCGGAGTGGTTGAAGTATGTTCCTGCACCAGCACGAAGGCTAAACAAGGCAGCGAAGAATGGAGAGTCGAAGTTGTAAGCGGTGGTTTATATAGCTGTCTGGTTTTAGACCTGCTTTTTCAGAGAGAAGGACATTGTGCATAGCCTGCATTTTCGAGTTATTCTAGCACACGTGACTGTAGAACGTTCAAGGCTGCACCGTCTGAATGTTTTTCTATTGCTTTCAGATTCTATGAATGAGTACGCCGAATCAACGATCATAATGGTTCACAAGTCTGACTCCCATCTATAGTAACGACCCCGCACGCCCCCAGGTAAAAAAGAAAGAGAAAAAAAAGGTATTGTATGCATATGGGTCAAAGCCAAAGGATCCGTCTCCGGGACAGATCGGGCTTGTGGAAGCTATGCAAAAGCAACACAAGAGGGAATCAAAGACAGTGCTCTGCTCCGATCTCGCGGCAAAGGACAGATAGGAAGGAGCGTGGTATCTAATTCATGTTATGTCGGGAGAAACATTTGCAAGAGTGTGGTATATCGCCATCCAAAAACAACGATGGGTGTACGCAATGAGCCTACCGTAGAGAGAATGTCTAGGCTACTGTTTCACGCTGACTTCTTGGCTCGGGATACCCCGTCCTCGGATGTCCCCCCTGAGGTGCGTATCACTTCTGGGATGTGCCAAAAGTGCGCCCAGCGCAGGTGGTATTCGCCTTGTCGAATGTTGAGGCAATGGCGGAGCCAGATTCCCCATGTGATATAGAGGTAGGCACCGATGCCAGTCATGATATGCCTGCGAGCAAGAATAAGCAAACGTTCCAATAGTAACCGTATATGTTGAACACCTACCACCAGCCATGCCCTTCTAAAAAGAGACCCCATGGCAGACCAACAAAGTGGCGCGCGCGACGGATCTCAGAGCAGAACACGTTATCCAGTCCCCAGATAAGGAAACCTCCCAAGAACATGCTCAGACCATATATCACCATGAACCACATGGCCTTGAGGGTCTTCTCGTCGCGCACGTTCTCATAGTGCTGGCGCTCCTTCGAGGGAACAGGGAGCCCCTTCTTCTGGCGCGCTAGGCGGTCCTCCTCCGTCGAGTGGCGCCATTTGGGTCGGAGGGTCACTTCCATAGTGTGCATACTGCGCAGGAAAACGACATTGGTAAGGATTGCAAAGGCATTCTGGTGGAAGACTGGGTCTTGGAGGTAGTGGTAGTACAGGGTGATGAATACAGCGAGACCTGTGAGCGAAAGTCCGAGACAGACTCGTACAGTGGTACTTTGGGAGTACGAGAATGAGGCATAGGCCATAAGGCAGGTGGTATAGATCATCGAGAGTTCGTCCACAAGTTGCATGGGGTCTGTTGTGGGGGTTTCACCGGTCAGCAGTGCTCTTGCGATCCTCACATATCGTTTTAGAGGTTGTTTTGGTGAATGTTCACCGCTACTTGACCAGATTTTGGGCATGGGATATAAGGGCACTTGCATTTGAGGGTAGAGTGAAACAAGAAACTCCCCATGCCGACTACTAGGTAGCCAATGAGGGCGACTGTGAAGATTTGGTCATGTCCATTGCGACGGCAGCTCCGTATGCCCTGGACTCCAAGCCACATGAACATCAAATTCGTGAGCGTGTTGACAATCTCCGCAGAGTACTCGGTGGCATAATAGTCCTGGGCCAGGAATAAATTAGCGTAGTTCTTGTCCCTGTATGTTTACTTCTGATCTGCGGTAATACACACCTCTTCACACCAGTTCAAGGTGGAGGTAACAGGCTCCCAGTATCCATCCTTTGCGGGCGGATAGGGAAAGAAGGGTAAAGACCAAAGCATTCTGCTGTACACCAAGGTAAAGAGAGGTGTTAACTCCGTAAGTTCTGTAATCTCTATAAGCTCTCTTTAAATCTCAAGAGAAAGTGAAACCAAAACAGCAGAAATCATACTGGGGGGGTCCGCCTGACATCTCGCTTTAGTCCCATGGTCAATGCTCACGTGGGTACCCC